TTCTCCTGGCATTGCCCTGAGTTTTTGCTGCTACTGATGTAGCATCACTGATGCTTCTATGACCCTTGTTTCCTCATCAGTCTGCAAAAGTACCTGGCAGTAGGATAAGAACAGTAGGATAAGAAAAAATGGTGAAAAAACTTTCCTTTTCATTTTTCATAGCAAATCTGGATGCTCTCCAAACCATACAGCCATGCTGTAATCTGCCGAATGGATTACATTTTCATCCTTGAGCTCCACCCATGCCCTAGAGCAAGGAAATCAGTCTCCAAAGGCTGCTGATGCCTAGAAAGCACACTCTTTCCTTAGGTGGCAAGGAATCCTTCTCTCCCATTGCACTCTCTTCTACATCTTTGTGTGCAAACTAAGAGATAGGCAGAGAGCCACAGTAGGAAACATAAATTTTACCCAGAAATAGACAAAACGTTTGCTTCCCAGTCCTCATCATATTTGGGTGGTGTAGACATATCTGGTTGTGTGACAGAGAGTTTTCTCACCTTTAGCTCACCTTCTGGGATTGGCAGCCTGTGTCCTGGCCACCCCACTGCCACAGCCAAGCAGAGGTACTGTTCTTATTGCAATAAAGAAGCTGTGATTCAAACAATGCAGTGCATCTAGCATGGACAGAAAAGACAACCACCAAATTCAGACAAACTATCCAGCTCCACCAGGAACTCACATATGGATTCTTCAGTGGTACAAACCACACGAATTCAGGGTTGCTTGTTCACATCCAGTTCTTCCCCCATTTTCTTCATTTAACCTCACACAGCTGCCAGGGTTGACCAGGGAAAAGCAGGTGGTGAACACAATGGGCAATTAAAAGTTTTCATCTGCTTTTGCCACACAGGTCTGTGAGAGTTCTCCTTCTCTCCAGCAAAGCAGAAGAAAGGGAAAGAGAGGAAGGTGGCTGGTGAGGAATATGGGGCTGGGGATAGGACGTGAAGGGGAAGGATTGTAGTAAGGTGGCTTATCCAGCACTTAAAAGCCAGATGGAGTCCTCCTAGAAATACAGTTTATAGCATCATTCATTAGAAAGCACCATGTCCAAGTACTTGAGCATAATAATTCAGCCCTCTGTTGTGGCCATTCATTAACAACACTCAGATAAAGAAAAATATTTCTAAACTTGAAATTAGCATCAACAATGAGCAATCCCAATCCTGCTGCTGAAAATGTACACTGAAGAAAGGTAAGTTGTGTTGGATCCTATCCTGCCTTCTAAATCCACTCAGCTACTAGAACTGTGTGCTTAGAGGTGTAAGCCATACACTCAGCAGCAGATACAGACTGTCAGTAGAAAAGCATGCTGCAGCCTAGCAAAGGAAGGCAACAGCCATCAGCCTTTGCCCTCTGACTGAATTAAGAACAGTACTTGCCTTCTCTTTCTTCGCCTTGACTCCCTAGGAGGTGAGTCTTCCTACCTGTGGAAAAGAGCTCCACAGACAGGCTGGAAGAGCCAAAGCAAAAACACTGCCTCAATTGACCATTTTTGGGATCCTCACACACTACCAGAGGAAAGCTCAACCATGAGAACACCTTCAAGCTGTTATAGTAAGGGATATTTAAAAGAAAACAAAGATCATGGACCTTAATATTCATCATGGCTGAGCCTGCAATTTGATGAGAAGGGCTAAGGTTCTTAGTTCAGCACATTAAATACATTCTTAGTTCACTCATAAACAACTTGGCATTGGTGATAACAAAATCCTCCATCTCCTGAAAATTAATTGCTAGATGTAAGACACAGAGGCAGGGGAATCCCAAACACTTCAGAAACATGTGTAGGCCCTCACTACAGGACAATATTGCTAGGTCATCAGACTTAGTTTTGTCCTTCAGAAGTCTGCATAACCACATCAGATCCTTTCAAGAGCTAATGGCACACATTCTCCCGGCATTCTGCCAGACCTGGGTCCAACCTCCAGTGCTCACTGAACTTCCTGTTGGATGTTCACATCCTGTGAATGTAGTATTCATCATCAGGATGAACAGCGTAAGGCATGTCCTGCACTTATCACACCAGGCTCTTCGGAGTGACTGGCAGACAACTCATTGAGAAAAATATTCTGGAGAGAGGCAGTTTCTTTTCATGTCTTTTGGGCCTTGTAAAATGTCTTTATGCAGTTGTTCAGCAGGAGGAGAGAGTAAAGCTGCTCAGTTAGAATGATGTATGCTTCCTTAAAACATTGCTCTCAAAACCCACTTTCACCTCTCAAACATTAATTACATATAAAGGACAATGAGTCTATATGTCCCTTACCTGTAGCTGGTGGTATTTCTTCCTCATCTTGTCTCCTCAGCAGACAAAATCAGAGAGGAGGAAACACAAGCAAAATTCTCCCAGTGCTCCCAGCATCTGGAAGACAGTAAAGGACTTGTTTCTGCAGAATAACATCAGTTTGATTGTTGCCCTGTAGCACAGTCCGGGAAAGTGGCAGAGGATTGTGTCACCTTTAAGGCTCTAAATGCAGCAGATCTCCTTGCAAAAACGCTTTGCTATTTGGTGTAGGGGTCCTTTGCAACACATTCTGACAAAATTTTCCTGCACATTGCTGAAACAGATATAAGGTGGTTGCTGATGATGAGAAATGTCTTATGAACTGTAGAACCACACATGCAAACATGGTGGCTTCTGAGTAATTATTGCCAGGAGTTCCTGTGAGAACTCAAAAGGTCTTCAGGACAAAGGCATGTGCCCCCTTACCCCTCTCCCAGCAATATACACACAAAGAGATCATATTAAAAGTGCCTTTTTCTCAAGAAAGGAGAGCGGAGACTATTTACAGTTGTGAATCACTCAACGTTTTACTCAATAGCAAATATACTCTCTCCAACTGTCTTTTTGTTTTGCAATATTGCACACAGCTCCAGCCACTCCTTTTTTCTTCACTTCTAAACAAACAATACCTTTTGTAGACAGGAAAAAAAATATCGGTAGTTAAGTGATTACTTTTAATTATGCAGAAGCTATATTCTTACTTAATGTAAAAGTATGAGCCATTGTTCGTGAAATCTACTTCAATTCCCCAAATACCTTAGTTATAGTTTACCACATTCTTAGAGTCATTACTTCTCAGAGGCATTTTTTAAAGCAAAGCAGAATAAAATTCCTGTTGTTTTCTTGTACTTGCCTTTAATTATGTATGATGAGAACTTATGAAATCACATGGAAACATTTACCAACCTGTTTCCACAGAAGTTGCCTGGATTCTAACATTTATACTCTGTTTGCCATCAACAAAGGAGGATTTTATCAAACAAGCCCTGAACCCTCCCCCTGCCACCTCTGCTACCCACACAAGATGCAGTAGGATCAATAAGGAGACGAGAAATAAAGAGTTCACAATTCCCTCCATACCGTATCCACGCTATCAAGAAAAGGTAGGGCATAAAATACTAGATCCTTTGGATGGGAAAGATTGGATAACTTCACCCTGGATGCAGTGATTCCTCATTTTATGTTTCAGCACCCATCCTGCTGAAATCTAAAAATGGAATTCATTTTGCCAGGAATGCTGCTGGCCTGGAGACTGTGCTTTCTCAGCTGCTCTTAGTTGAAGGAGCGATCTGAATTTGGCAGGGTGCAATTAAGAAATCCTATATGGCTAGTACAGGGCTGCGTACCAGCCACACCATGATCACCAACAGCTCTTTCAGCATCAGTGGTAATGAATACAGAGTTCTCTCTCTGTGTCTCAAATTTTAATGCCCCTTCCCTTTGCAACGAGTTAAGCAACAGAGCTTCACATCAATATATAGCATAGCAGGGCACATCTGACAGCGACATTTGCTCTGCGTGTGGCAAACATTTGCTCTGCATCTGGGCTCTGAAGCTGCAGAAATAAACAATGGAACTAAGCAGGACTCTTTCCTGATGATGTTAAAGGAGGTAAGAAGCATTCCCAGCATTCTCCACAGCTGTGGAGGAATTGATGATGAAGCAAACTACACACACAGAGCATTGTCAAGAGCTGTGCATACATCTGCTTAAATCACTCTTCAACAATCTCACCAGAAAAAGTGCAACAGGGTAGCTGGCTGTGGGCAGCATGTGATGTCTGAGAATTCATAACATCATATAATTAAAAACAGCACTTCCAGAGAAAGTCTCCAAAAGAAGGCCTCCTCAGTGAAGCTGATTTCCAGCCTCCTACCCTGGCCATTTATTCTAGGGACTACTAACACAGAAGGATTCTTGCTGCAGTTGTGGAGAGCAGGTTTTGCCATTCTCATTGGAGTCGCAGAAGGGTGAGCGATGCTGAGTCTTCAAAAGGAGTCACACAGACAAATCACAAAAGGCGATGGAGGATTAGGCCAGTAGCAGAACATAACTGTGGGGTCAGGGCATCTTTTTTAGACCAGACCACTGCCAACCCTGCAAAAATACCGCCACTGCTTTCATGATATGAAACACTGGAGCTATGCCTTAATTGCAAAACAGACATTGTTTCAAACTGGGTATTTTGTCCCCCTAAACTGAAGAGTAGGGTGTACTCACTAAATTTACATGTGTGTGGAAATTCATAAGTCCTGCCACTTGATATGATGGGATCCAGTCCATATGACCCAGACATGGTCAGAAAGCAGCACTACCTTGCCACTACCTTCTTGGATACTTGAGCCCACAAGCAGCCTCTGTCACAGTGACAAGCTCTCACAGACAGAAAGGTCTTGCTCCTCTGTCAAGCTTGGTTACAGTTTGACCTAGGATAGATGTTGCTGGGCTGCACCTGTTATTTTGGTGGTTGCTCACTGCTGACAGGACAAAACCCTGATCTGTTCTTCACACTGCACATCAGTGAGAGGACGGTTGAGGGTAACTCTCCTTCATGGCAGATTACCTTCCTCACACTCCCAGGGCCCGAGAACAATTATTCACAGGCCTCTTAAGAAATATGCAATGGACAACATGTTAAGGACACACAATCTCAATCTTTCCTTTTCACTCTTTCTTTAAAAATTGTGTTCTTTCAAGATTTTCTGATTACAGATTTTCTCACCGTTAATTGCTCTTTCTTCCTCCTGTGGAGTCTCCAATTTGCTTCTGATTTCCTAAAAGGAGACGTCATCAGTGCTGAGTACAGGACAATTATCTTCTCTGCTGCAAAGAACTGATCTGCTTTGAGTACTGCTCGCATACTAGGAGAAGAAATACTCTGCTTTGCTATCAGCTTCATTCCCAGCAGTTGTGAGCCCACAGAGATGGAATCAGAGGAGAAATATGACAGACAGTAAAAGGGGTGGCTATAAAGAATGGGTGAAAAACTTTGAGAAGTGAATAAAAGGGACTGACAACAAAAAATGGCAGATAGACAAGTCTAGCTCCATAAAAGGTGTGCCTGTCAGAAAGGAGGGCAGTGAGAAGCTGTCCTGCTTAGTGTATTATAGAAGCAGAAAGGAAAAGACAGACAAAATCACACTCCTCGATTTTAAGCAGTTCTCCATTTATCAAGATCTCACAGCTGCCTGCTTTGGTGCTTGTGTCTTGGAGTTTGGGAGCTTTTGTTTAACATCCTTCTCTGAAGCCACTTAGTTAGACATCATACTGCCTCCACCCACAACATCCATATAGAATAGGAAACATTCTGGTGGGAGATACCTGAAATTCCACTTTGGTCATGTCGCATTTGACAACACTAGAAGAAGTCAGAAAAAAGAAAAAAAAAAGCCTTCCTGCATGAAGTGAGAGAGGCAGAATACAGAGCAACTGATTCAAATTAGAAAGCTAGGAGAGAGATATCAGCAAACAAAAACCCACATCTTGCTTAAATCCATGCCAACAGAGGATGGAGAGAGGGCGAAAGTCCTGTGAATATTCAGAGAAAGAAGAACACATGAGGACAAGAAGACAAAGTAAGAATCAGCTTGAGACACAGGTAGAGTATTCATGAAAGAACAGAGTTCCAAGTATCACCAGGCATTAGAAATCTTAGTGAAGGTGGCAAGAGCCAGGCAGTGGGCACATTTGGATACTTGAACACTTCTGCTGTGTATCTGCTTGAAAGATGAATTTCTCTGAGAATCTGGAAATTTAAGTATTAAACCATAAATTCCCTGCTCCCAAAAGCAAAGGACTGCTAGTATTGAGAAGCTGCCACTGATGTCATTAGCCTATGCCAAAAGAACCCGAAACAATTTCTTTCCTTGGGGATGTATTCTATGAGTAGTAAGATTGAGGAGTGTTTAACTGGGTCCTACCTGTGAATCTCTTGTACTCTTGGTTTGTGTGGGAGTCTCACAATCACGTCAGCTCCATTTTTAGGATTTCTATATCTTCTGCATGCCATGTTGTTGCTCAATAATTGTCAGTATGCAGTTTTGTCAGGAAATAATATTGTTTATTCTCTGTGAGACTTTGCATGTTGTTCTTCATATTTTATAAGCCACTCTGAGTCACTAGTACCTAAGGGACAAAGGCAAAGGGAATAACATAAGGAAAAAATAAAGACAGTTGCTTGACATTATATTTAGTCAGCAGAAGCAATTACTCTCAGAAACTTAAGGCTACATTTTTTATTTTGTAAAGCCAGTAAAGTTTTTCTTCGGGGCTGTTGAGAAAAACAGAAAAGGATATTTCCAAACATATAACTGAATTCCCTTCTCTAGGAAGGGACAGTTCAATGCCAACTGGAAACAATAGACCAGGTGTTGGAGAAGCATTGTAATGACTTGAAAATATTTATGCACAGTTAAATATGCTAGGCCATAAACTAGCAACTATAAAGATTATTGCAGAGTGACAGGTATAAGGTGAGGACAAGGACTGGACAGCTCCTGTGGTATTTCTGATAAGGCTTCCCACAGTCCTGTTTTTGACAAGACTCAGGTATAGGCAAGTCAATAAAAATCTTTCTTTGCACACCAGGGGGAATTGAAGCCCTCCCTGGAGGCTGATAGACCCAAACTTTATGGTGCATCTCTGAGCCACGGCCGATGTCACATGCCAAACTGTGACTGAGCAGAAGTAACGCAGACAAACATCCTTGCTTACCTCCAGTCTCCCTGATGTTTGCAAACTGTGGTTTTGCCTGTTTTGGTATCTCTTTCAGCACTGTTTCTGACTGGGACTTCTTAGTGTTTCTATTTCTTACATGCTTCACTGGACAATGAGCTTCTCTTTAGTTACCATGATTAAGACAAAACATTGTCAGATGTTGTATCAGGATCTCCCATGGATCTCAAGTTGCTTAATATTTCACAATTAACCTCATGATGAGCCCCTCAAACTCTCCTGACTCTTAGCATTTTTTCCAGAAATGTCCCTCATCTTTGCTCAAAGACAGCACAAGAGAGACACCAATTCTTCCATGGCTTTGTTGTTAAAAACACATATTCCTCTCTTTTAGGCTGAAATTCTGATCTAACTTCTATTAGTTCCCTGTACACCTTTCTTTTCTACACAAAAAGCACCCTTCTGGTACTTGTGCTCTAATGTCATTTCAGACAATATTTTAATGTCATTTCAGACATTAGAGGGAGGGAACATGAGGGGAGAGAGACATCTCCTGAATGCTTTCTAACCTTGCCTGTACAGGGCCTATTCAGGTAAGATGATCTGAATTCTTGAAGTGATGTTCTTTTTGGAAATAAGCAGACAGAGAGAAGGGCACTTCAATGAAGTTCTACTTCTTTCTCCAGGGGAACGAACTATTTTATAATGAAGTACAGTCATGTTTTCTGAATGAGGACCTGTAAAAAGCAAGACACCCAAGCTTAGTCTTTCTAAAATTCATATTTTTAGCTAATCTAAACAACAGTTTCAAGTACTGCAACAAAGGAAAGGCTCAATTTTTGCATTTCAAGACAGTTTTTGCCTCTCCCTCCCCCACCCCCTGACTCTCACACCATTTTCTCTTTTCTGCAGTATTTCCTGTGGTCATGGACAAATGATGTATTCCAGCACTGAATTTTCAGTATCACATTTCTAGCCTTCATTTCTCAATTTCATATATCTCCAAAGACAACATTAGATCCACCTGCTGTGGCAACAACAGCGTTTTAATATTTCAGCAGTTTTATTCACTCTGATCCCCAGACTATTTTCCAGGCTGCAATTCCAGACTCTGAAGGCAAGGCCGCCATTCTCCACCCATACAGGCACAGCCGTGCAGTGAACAGTACAATTTGTCTTCAAATGATTTGCTGATTGCTCCTTTTGTACAGTTTTTTTGCCCATGGTTTTGCAAACATTGGCCTGACTTTGTGTCAACTGTATTTTTCAGTGAGTTTGTTTTTTGCTTCAGGTATTAGGATAGGCTCAACAGCCAATTTTATAAAACACACTGAAACAACCCATATTTATCGTAACTTCCCTTAGAAACTACTTGTGTCAGCTAGCCAATTTTTATTGCCTGCACATTTCAGAGCCAAATATTTATGAAATGTGTTCCCATATCAGAAAGTTAATGGTATAAGATCAGAATCATTAGAGAGAACCATATACCTCCATAGCTTCCTTCATCAACTAAACTTATAATCTGGGGGAATGAAATCAATTCTATTTGACAAGTTGTATTTTGCATAAAATTGTGTTGACTGACATTAATTATATTCCTACCCTTTATTTCTCTACTAATTGAATACTGCATCAATTTTTCCATTATTTTCCTCTGGAGTGATATCATTTCAACTGGTCTACAACTTCCTGTGTCACCTTGTTTACCTACTAATAGCCAACCTCTAGTCTTCAGATATTTAGTCAGTGCTCCAAGTATTTCAATGTATTTTTTTAAATTATCAATAAAATATTTGCTTATTTCAGTGAGAGAGGGGGAGATACATCTTTCTTTTCTTTTGAGACCATGGAAGCAAATTACTTAGACTACTGATTGAAAATCCCTGTCGATTTATCTTCAGCTTTCAACAGAGTAGGCAGCATTTCATGCTCCTTCTTCCAAATGCAGGAGATAGAAATAACTGGAATACTTTTAACACTCCTGTATCAGCAACGTCTTTACCACTCCTGTGTCGGATCTTATGCTGGTCTTACATGTCTCAAACTGACTTGGACCACCTAAGCATGAAATTTCTTCTGAGGACCCTGGCCTTCCTCAAAAACTTTTTTATGATTCAAAATAAGCTGCTTACACAGTTTTGCACAACTTCCTCCCTTTCCCATCCATTTTCCATCTTCTGTTTTTCCTTCATCTGCAGCTCTCACTCATTGCCATTAAGAAAGCACTTACACAAACCATCCTGGATTCACAGGTTTGAGGGACAGCAAACACCTTTTTCATCACACACTCATTGAGAGCTCTGCCCCCAGTGTTATGTTAATGTCCAGTTCTGTATGGTTCTTGTGTTTGCTTTGCTCTTTCCCCTCTTATCCACTAGCAGGATTATACTCTCTATGCAAAATTATTGCATGTGCTTTTCTCTGGTTTTTTTTCCCCTCAGCCCCTAAAAATCCATACTGTCCCCTGACACATGCACAGCTGCAGCACCCTCTGCCTTACGTCTGTTTTGACATTTCCTTGCTGTGTCTCCCTTTCTATTCCCTGACTCAGTATCATCCCTACATATGATTACAGTCTCCTGCTCACTCTGTTTGTTGTTTCATTCACACTCTCTGCCACCCCACAGAGATGCCGTGACGCAGGGAGACATTATTTCTACATGCAGCAAATCCCAAGCGTGGTGTGCTGCTCTGCTCATCTCACAGAAAACAATAAGGCTGGGAATCTACTGTCCTTGCAAGTGCTTCACAGCTGATGTGAAAAAGCTGTTCCAAAAGTGTCGTTGAGGAAGCACAGGATGGCTCAGCTTCACTTTACTGGCATTGATGCTATTGCTTTATGAAATGAATGAAAATTATTTTAGGAGCTTTCCATGTTTTCCCGAAGTTTAAGAATGAGGTGTGGAATATTGCTGTTTCAGAAAGAGGAGGTTTGGGAGACACTGTGCAAGAACATGACAAATGGCACCTAAAGATAGCCTGTGAAGATATAAATATCACATTTGGAGGCTTTTTCTTTAAAAGATTCCCAACATTGACTTACAGATATATCTCCCAAGGCTTTGATTGCTGCTGTGGAGACATATTTTGGTGATGAAATCAGTATAAAATATGTATGCATAATTTTCAAACCTAGATTTTAAATTTCCTAGTATAGAAAATTCATGTTCTCAGAGGATTCCACGTTGAGCCCTATGACTTGCTCAATGTAACTCATCTGAACTCTTGGCTGACTTTGAGCTTGGTCCTCAGTTTTGTAAGGACTGTGGAGACCTTTCAGGAAAGTTCATGCCCAAGTACATAATGAAAGGACACTGTCACATCTGAGGGATCCTGTAAGTAATTAAAAATTGTAAGCATTTCTGTCTGCTTTTCTTGGAAATTATAAACTCTCCAGCAGCTTTTGCTAAAATGCATCCTTCCAAGAACTCATTTATATCAACTGGGTTTTTCTAATTTCTTGTCTCTAGACCTTATAATCTCTGCATACACAAGCCTGCCTAGTTCTGGTAATAGACAACTCTGATTAATCTCAGTGCAGCTCTTAGGGATTCTGCATGATAAAGTGATCCTTCTGTCAAGAAAAAGTGATGCTTCTGCTTCCAAAGGGAAAACCTAAATTGTCATCTCCATCAGAAACATGTGGGGTCACCACTAACGACCAAAGCAACTGGTCTGTACCAGGAACAAAATAGGGACCATGGCTCGTAGCAAGAGCCCGAAAAGCTTTGAGCTGAGACCACCAGAGTATGTAGAGCTGGAACATGGATGACAGTAAAATGGTAACCCTGGCAGTGACTTGCAGATGAAGTCCCCTCCTGCCACTGGAGTTATACTATGGTAAAACCAGACCCAGGACCTCAGGCACATCTGCAGGGTCCAGCCTATCTGGGGACTTCCACAGAATCTCAGATAACTTTTTCTCTGATTACAAGAACCTCTTCAGCAAGAATCTCTGAAGTCATTTGTCAAATAAATTTAATTCCAGTTAGATCCTGTGGCAGAACTGAGGAAAAAGGTGACCCCACTCCTAGCAGACCTCAGCTTTATTTTAGCTGAAAAGCTGTTATATCTCAGCCTCTCTCCCAGGCTAGCTGCTATTTCTAACCTGTCCAGTGCTGCATTATGTCAAAGGTCATTATTTATTCAGAAGAACTAGAGGGTGAGATAGCATCCCAGTTCTGTGACAGGGATCAATAGGTGCCTTTCTATAATGACAGCAATTTTTTTTTTCTTTTTAAGGCCTAATTTCTGAGCACTTAGAGAATCATTTCTAATGCTGCACCATTAGGGATTGTTAAAAACATCAAAGCACTACTAAATGATCTACTAAAAAATACTATTGTTGCAACTGCTATTATGCTAATCTATGTATGATCTTGTTATTCTGCATAGTCACAAACTCCCAGAACTAAAGAAAGCTAACTGCATTAAGACAAGAAAAATAGAGTTTCCTGGAAAATTAGTTACCTGTTAGTATAGATAGTTTTATTTTCTTTCTTTCTTTATCTTAACTTTGCAGGCCAGTGGCTTCTTTCTCTTAGTTGGTTCTGGAAAACAAGAAATGGAGATGCAACATAACCCATAATACACAGCTGCAGATGTCATTTTCCCCTCAAAAAGAGCAACCAAAATCACACCATGCAAAACTGCCACCTTGTTCCTTGGCCAAGTAAATCAATAAATCTACTCCTACTACTATTACTATTATTTCTAATAAAAATTGCCTTGTACTGGTGGAAACAAGAGAGAGAAAAGTGCAGTTTATTTTGGAAAAAGAAAACAAAACAAAGCCCAGGGAAAGGTCCAAAGGGAGAGGAATAAATCGAGTGTTTTTTGAACCTGTTGCAATAGAAGTCCAATCAAACCATTCGGCAACCCTGGGGAAACAGCGTCATCTTTGGATCTCCCTGAACATCAGAAGTATTCTCAAAAACGTGTGAGCAAGCCCAGAGGTCAGAAACAGAATAAGAAACACAAAAATGTGTAAATAATTTTTACTATCCTTTCTGTAAAGAGAATAAAAAACAATTTTAAAAAAATGTGACAATTGCATCAGATTAGGGTTCTGTATTTAATGCAGAGAGAAGAGATGGTC